AGGGTCCCAACCAAGCCCTTCACTGATTTGTACCCTTTATTATAAAACTAGTTGTAAGTATAGAACCTTCCTGAGTTCTGTGTGCCATTCTAGCAAGTTAGCATATCATATCAAACCTGATAGAGTCATGGGAACCCCTGAATTTTTAGCCAGTTGATCAGAAGTGTAGGTGGCATGTGGACCCGCAAATTTGGGGCTGGTGACTGAAGTGAGAGCAGCCTTGTGGGAGACTGCCCCTTAACCTGTGAAATTTGACCTCAGAATTGCCTTGCAAAATGATTGCAAAATGTCAATTCCCGTAAATTAACCTATGGATTTAGGGTTAATTGAATAAAAAATATGAAGTTTGACTAGTGGTTGGTGGTGGTGGTGTTTAGATTTAGGAGTCTTCTTTGTTTTTTCTTTTTGTTTATAGCTCATAGAATACAGAAATTGTCTATTATTCCAGATGTCTCTATGCATGTCAAACTTATTGATGGGATAAATAAATCATTTAAATCAAAATACAGTACTTATATTATCTAAGTCTAAAGGGTCCAATAAAGTGGAAATAGAGTATTCGTAAGAATTATATTAAATGAATATATATTTTAAAAATATTTTCTTAGGCATTTTAATGCTTCCAAACTTCAGTCAGCTATCGTAGCATCAATTAAATAACAGCAGTTACACTAAGAAGACATAAATCGAAAGTACTTTTAAGAGAGAAAATAGACAAATGTCTTACTGTGCTCGTAGCTGTTCAGGGGTCGGATGCTATGAAAACTGAATGAGACCTGCCTATGTCCCTGGATCCCTGAGTCTTCCCAGCCCTCCTCCTTCTGGGAGACCTGATGATCCAGAGCATCCCCTGACGTGTTTGGGCCTCTGTGGGCTGCATGTGGAACAAAAGGCAGCAGGAACAAAGGGACTACTTGGGAAAGGCTACAAATTAAACTTAACATGAGCCAATATCTGTTGTGATTACTTTTTCTTAGCTCACCAAACTTTCTCTCAGTCGACAGAGCTGCCATCCAATTTTCTTAAGCTCTTTTTCCATGTCTACAGCCATCTTTTTGTAGAGGTTGCCCCTCTGTTATGTACAGTTCGTGTTTCTACACAATTTGGGAAATTTATTTCTAAGCAATGTATTTTCTCCTCAATCGATTTTCTCTTGTTCTGTGATGCTTTTAAGATGTTTTTCTGTCGGTCACTTGGGATTGGAAGGATTTTTTGCATCTTTGATTCACGGTGTCTGTCCTTGAAGGTGACCTATTGTCAGTCCATGAACTGAAAGTTTTAGCTCCCTTTTCTGTGCTTTTCCAAGAAAGTCTGTTGTGTCCTCAAATGAAGACCTGTTTAGATTTTTATCAAGTGTTGCCCAGCACAGTTTGTAACATTGAATGACTGACCTCTGGGTGATTTGAAGACTTCGTTGGCTTGTGTCATTAGTCCAGTCTTCTCATTGCCTTTTCTATATGCTTCAACCCAAGCAGAATGCCTTTCCCCTTAAACAGTGTATTGGCTCTTTACTATAAAAACTACCGTAGAAGCACATGTCAGGGTGTCATCAGAAAACCCAGAGAGTCCTGAACTGTCTGAAGCTTTCAGCTATCACCAGCAGAATACCCCACAGCAGCTCCAGGACCAGCTGGAAAGACATCTTAGGAGCAGGCAGCAGACCATCCATGGGTCTGAAGGGCTCCACAGCTCTGTCTCTAATTGCCAGTATTCTCTGGGCCACAACTAACCACATGGAACCCTGTGGAGTGTTCTGTCTCTAACATAAACAATTGCCTGGCAACCAGGCTAGACCATCAGTTGGGCAAAGGGAAGAGTAGGGCCGGCCAGTCAGGTGCTAAAAAACACTTCTAACTTTGCTCTGCTCAGTGCACAAATAGAAAGTGACATTACCTGTACAGTGCATTTGGGGAAGCAGAAAGGGCTGACTGCAGCCAGAGACCTGCCTGAAGTTCTGGCCACCCTAAGCCCCACCTGGCCTACAGCAAAGCTGAAGGACCAGAGCAGTGCCATGCCATAGTCCTACTCTGCACAGGAGCACATCAGGGCATGGTGATGGGGTACACTTCAGTAGAGGACTCCACGCCCACATCCCTATGAGGCTCATTCTTCCCATTTAAACTTCCCTTTGCCAAGCAGGGAAGTAGGGAACGGTTGCCTGCAAAGGTCCTCCAGGGATCTCCCTCCTCTGAAGATGCCCTATCCCTTTTGTGTTTGGTCAATGCAGGAGGCAGGGGCAGAAGACCCCAGGGTATCACTAGGCAGTAACTAAAAGACCTGGATTTCAGTTTTAAGAACTCAGGAGTAGGCCTTGGAATGGTCTTGCTCTTAAAATTTTATCCACTAAATATCTTTAGAAATATGTCTGTAGAGGGCCCCTCTTTTGGTTAAATTTGCCACCTTTCTTTTTCTAACCACATCTCACTTTCCTAGAATTTCTGGGGCTCAACACCTCCTTGTCCATCCCCTGGGACTTTGTGGTGAGCAGTTCATTCTCAGCCTCTTTAATCTACATGAGAAACAAGAATTGTCAGCAGAGGCCAGTCTGGAGCTTTTGAAGAATGTCGGGGTTCAAGCCGTAGGTCCCTTGTAAACGTGGAGGAGAAAGGCTCTGACCAGACTTGGCAGGAGTGAGGGAGGGGAGGTAGCCAACTGCCTGAAGTGATAACTGATTCTATTTACAATTCATATATTTATTTAAAAAGGAAATCACCATTTAAAAGTTTATAAGCTCTTTCTGAAAGTAAAGAATTCAGCTGTGGAGGGGAGAAAAAAAAAAAAAGAGGCTAGAGAGGATTTTAGTCAGGACTCTTTAGCTGCAGGTGACAGGAACGCAGTGCACGTAGCTTAAGCCAAAAAGTTCAGGTGAGGATATTGCGGGGCCACAGCGGGGAAGCTCTGCAGGAGCCAGGACAGCACTAAAAACCTTGGGTTAGAATCAGGGACTCAGTGCTTCCAGTAGTTGTTCTGTCTGTATCTGGTCCCTGAGTCCAAAAAAAGGCCTCCAGGTATAAGTGAGTAGGGCTCATCCTCTTAGGTTTCTCCTCTGGTGGGAACCAGCCTGCTGGCATCTGTCTCCTAGGTTTGCAAATACAGTTTCAGGAAGTTTTTGAGTTGTAACCTGTTGGCCCCAAAAGGTCATGTTTTGTAATCTAGTTATCTTCTCTTTAAAAAAAATAAAAGCTACAGGTAATTCATAAAAATGGTGACTGGTTTCCTAGAAAAGCACCAGTAAAAGAGCCAAAGAAGCCTTTCTCATGGCTTCCTCTCTTTCTCAAACTATAGTGCCGTGTTTGGTCCCATAATATAATGACAGTTTTCAGGCCCTTTGTGAGAGTTCTACAGGGAGGTACATTTCATTTTCACAAGTGGAAAGAACATTAACCACATTCAGTTGGACGACATTGGTTTTCTTTTTTCTGCACTAGTATGAGCTCTTTTAAAGCCAGGCTTTCTCCTTATGACCCTTGAAGAAAAGACATCTGATTTCTTGGGGCTAGTCATTTTTGATATTTAAGTCTAGAATTTCAGCAGGCAGCATGCCACTGATTTTTTATATCCGCTCCCCCACTTTTACCCTCACAGTCAGCATTGACTGAAGCAGAAAATGTAAGCATACATTATATGGACTTGCTCTTTTTTCCCCTCCCAATTTCAGGTATTTTTTTTTACAATGGACATCCAATAAAACAAGTAGATATCTTGGGAACTGTAATTGGAGTGAGAGAAAGAGATGCTTTCTACAGTTACGGAGGTAAGAACAATTGTGTCTGACACCGAGTTTATGTGAAAGGGATCCCAATTTAACTGAATGTTGAATTCGAAGCAACCCCAGCCTTTCAGAGCAGCAGGGGACTCCCACAGACCCCAAACACTTTCCTCTATTGGGAGCCCCTTGGAGCCACCAACCAGGACTAAGTGTAAAATGAGGCAACGGGTAGGAATGATACTGATGAATACTGTCAAGTGACAGATGCCGGGGAGTTAGGAGGCTGAAGAATTAAAATACTGCTCTAGGATCATGGTTGATCAGGAACAGATACCTGATACCTGAGGGCATAGCTATAAATAGCAAAAGATGCTAATCTATCTTTATATTGATACCTTTAAAAAGAAAAAGCCAGATTAATGTTAAAGTAGACTCTTTAAGAAGGCAGGGAGGCGTGAAAAGTAATTTATAAGACTTATGTACAGAATAGTTTTTAAAAAAACAAGGTGTTTGGATTCCAAACCTTTGCTGTAATTGAAATTGTCGTTTTCTGTTGTGTTGCCTTAGATCTATGTTCTTGCTGTACGTGGGGAAACACAGAAGGCAGTTGAACTAGGTGACCATTGGCAGTCTGTGCATGATTGATAATTTACAATGTCCTTGTATTTCTTCAATATGTATTAATTTTCCTGAGGGTGATTGTCTCATGCTTATAAAATAATATATGAGATGAGATTTCTCATGCCTTCTGCCTTTTCCCTGAATATATTTTTTTAAAACTCTGAAATAGGTCATTTTGTTAGGCATTCCCTTACTGGATCTCATCTCTGCTTTATTTAACCAAAGATACTCGTTCTGTTTTTCTCCAGACAACTCAACAAGCGTTCGCTAAGCTTCTACAGCATACCCAGCAGTGGGCAAGTGCATTATCTGTAGTATAATACAGTACTTCTCTTCAAATACCAATAACGAAATAATAGTATCTTTCATAGTTTACAAGGCACTTCTACATGTATAATTCATGTTATTCTCCCTCTAATCTTTTGAAATAGAAAGGACAGATATTTCCATTTTGTAGATAAGAAAACAAGCTCAGTTACTTGTTCAAAGTTCCACTGATAGGTCCAATGTATTTATTGGTTCCAGTGTGCTACATAGTGCACTATAACTCAATTTGATTTTTCTCTCCTTAAGCTCTTCCCACTTCATCCACAGTATCTAGTTTTTAATTTTATGTTTTTTAAATCGAATAAATGAGGCTGTATGAGGACATCATTCCCGGCCCTAAAGCCAGGCCAAATATTATGTCTGTGACCTAAAGGGGCTTCACTTAACCCCTTTTCCATTTAGAGAAGGATGAAGGCGATATGTCTGAGTCTTCCACAGTGACGTTCCTCTTAGAGTGGATGTCGTGAAAGCATGACACATCTGTAGGCTATGGGAAAATGAAAAGGCATCTGAAAGTTGAAATAATTGAGAAACGTTTTTGCAACTTAAATTCTTGTGAGCCTGTTCAAGGGAGAGCTGCACTTTCCCTGATGTCTTCAGGTCCACTTTGGCTCTTGGGCCACCTGCCAGGCAGCCACTCCTCTCCTGGTCCTGCTTCATCAGACTCACCACAGGCTTATGCTGAGGGTGCTTCCTGCTCACACTGACCCATCGCACTGCTGAAACAAAAGGCCGGTGGCCCAGGCAGTCTTCCCCTAGCTGGGAAGGATGTGGCACAGCCCTGCAAGGATGCTCCCCTTCCAGAGAATTCCAGCAGCCAGACCTCAGGGCGCCAGGAGAGGTTACAAACCAGGAAGTCAGTAGTGGTGCCCCAAGCACGCAGAGCACCTGGCAGCAACTCAAGCTCAGACCTAGAATCCTGGGAGGCTACGGTCAAGATCAAAATGACCTCACATTTTCTAGAGCAAATGTTTATGTGCTAACATTTTTTGGCTTTATGTTATAAATTAAGATTTTAAACTGCCCAGAGAAGTGGTGTCCCTAGAGGTGACATATATTTTTAAAAAATTTTTATTATTTATGCCTTCAGCACCTGGTCTTCCTAGGTGGTCTCCCATCCAAGTACTAACCAGTCCTGACCCTGCTTAGCTTCCGAGATCAGACATTAGGTTCGTTCAGGGTGGCATGGCCTATACCATGGACCGTGGCTCCACTGGGACGCGAACCCAGGACCTTCGGCGTGTAAAGCAGGCGTGCTAACTGCTACACTATGGAACCATGTCCGACATAGATATTTTTAACTTGAAACATCCTTATTGATTTTTTTTGCTTCTTAAAATGATATTCACTCCTTATAAAATTTTAAGCTAGAGAAAATTTTAATAAAGTACATAAAACTTATGTGAAACCCTATAAATCAGACAAAAACAATGTCAGTGTTTGGGTAAACATCCTTTCTAATATTTCTAACATCTTCCTAATGTTGAAGAAATATAGATATGCCTTATTTCTTCATTACTATTATGTATATTACTCTCTTAATATTTCTGAAATTAGGCTTACAGTCCACATATACATGGAATATGGGGTTCCTTCCCCATACTCCAAAAGAAACTGCTATTAGCATTTTAACATCTTAAAATCATTTCTGTCAAAGTATACTATTTAATATTTTATGTAAATTAGATTATCAGATTATATATATGATTTCTGTTTTACAGTGAGGTAAGAATATCTTTTAAGAGCAATGAACAATCTTCATTATTATAACTTTGTTCTCATATACCATTATACTTTAACTAATTCCATATTTATAAACATTTAGGTTATTTCCAACTTCCAGTACTACAACCAGTATTGCAATAAATAGCCTTATAGAAGATGTATATATCTGTGCATCTGTTCTGTTTTTCTCCTCAAGATAAATTACTGGAAGTAATTTGTTCTGTTTTTCTCCTCAAGATAAATTACTGGAAGTAAATGCCAAGCCAAAGGATATATTGTATACATTTTAAAATTTGATAAACATTTCTAAACTTGCTCTTTAGAAATTTTACACTCCCACAAATTTACACTCCCACTAATAGCATATGAAGATATCAGTGTTTTTAATATTTGTCATTCTAGTAGATGATGAAATTATTTAAATTTGCTTCTTTTTTTCTGCTAACTAGTGAATTTAGTGTACTGACCTGTTTCTTGGCCATTTTTATGTCTTTCATGAATTGCATATTCCTTTGCTTTGCCACTTTTTCTCTTGTGGTCTCAATCTTTTCCTTATTAATTTGTATGAATTCTTTATATATTGAGACACTAACCCCCTCATTTGGAACATTGCTATACAGTATTAATTTATAGTTGGTCAAATATATTAGACTTTTAAAAATAAATTGATTTTCAGGTCTACTTTAAAGTGTCTCCCCAGCAACTGTATGCCCAACGTTAAAAAGTATTCACCCATATTTTCTTTTCATCTTAACTAACTATATTACGTTTGATAAAGTAAAATCTATCTAGAATTTATTTTAGTATAAGAAGTATTCTTCTAAGTTTCTGCTTTCAACACAGATTTAAACCAGCAGTAAAAACATTGCCTAATATTTCTTATTTGTTACATGTGTTTTTACAACAGTCTAGCTGATGATTTTTAAAAATCATTAAGCCCACTGACTCCATGTTTAGCAACCTCTACTCTGAGTTTGTCAGAAATTAGGCAAAGAGAAAACGCCTATCATCCCATAGCAAATGTCTCCAAAGACCTCTATAGTTTTAAATCCAAGTGCAATGGGAATGCTTTGATTTTTTTTTTCCCCCACTATGGATAAATAAGCCAAACCAGTATTGTTTATGCAATCAAGATATAATTATTTTCTACTATAAAAATACAACTTTTCCCTTTCGTGATGTACTTGGCTTTCCTTACATCCCCTGCAATGGTAAGGACTGGGCAGAAGCCCTTTCAAAGAGAAGCCTAGGCCCAAAGATTTGGGATGCTTTTTCTAGTTAAGTCAGCGAGCTCATGGAAGAGCAAATGGTGACAAAAGACTGCGCTCTAAGTGCCTCTAACCACAGACCATGTGATGCTCTCGTTGCAAGGTAGGAGGACAGGGCCGATTTTCTATGTTAGTAGCCATTGCGATTTTTGCTCTTCACTTCCCAAGGGCACCATTTTCAGTAGAAGTGTAGATGAATCATTAGCACTTCTGAGGTAAGGTAAGTGAAATGTTGACTCCATTCCACTGGGCTTATGTATCACAGTGACATTGCAAACAAGCAGTTCCCGCTGGTGTATGGTGTGAGATGATATCTATAAAGGTGAAAGGAGAGTTCGATAAGGGATTTACCCAACCGGACTATTAAGAAAGTCTGTCTTTCAGTATGGCTGAACCCAATGACAATTGCTGCTAAATCACCAGCAGCGCCAAAATCTCTGTTATGCTTTTTTATACTTCTCTTGCAGTGGATGATAGCACTGGAGTTATAAACTGCATGTGCTGGAAGAAGTCGAACAGTACTGAGCCTTCCTCAGGTAATTTTATTTGTCAGCTCCTTTGCTTTCCAGCTAACCAATGGATTTTCCTCAAGGAAGCTCATCAGAACAGCTGTAAAGCTAAATTTTCACATTTATCCACTGGTCAATTACACTGTGTCCAGAGCTTTGGCTACTCTGAAAACTGATGTTAAAGGGGAGCCACTTGTTTTTCTTTCTCCCATTTCTTTGGTGCTCACTTCCTCCTAAACCTATGGGATTGTGACTAGGTTTCTAGGAGTTTCAGCATTTTGTTTTTACTCTGCCAGTTATTCTGTAAGTCAAGATGTTTTAGCCTAATTGCCAGTCAGGTCAGAATTCCCTTGCTTCAGGCATGTCACTTGACCAAAGAAGATTCTGAAGACTTTTCCTCTTATATGGCTGCCACTAACTTCAATGCTGCCATTCATATTCAGATTTTTTGAAATATTTACATGTTTGAGAAATATACCAGGAATTTTAAGACTTATGAGAAGGTAAGGTAGGGTCGTTTTGAAGTTAGCCATTAAATAATATAAACTGAAAAAGAATTTTAAAATTGTATATTGAACACAACTGACTATAACTGAAATTGTATTTGGAATTTTTGAGTGTATTTTAATAGTTCTTAGTTTTTTAAGTTGCTTAAATTTTAATATTGAAAAATATTATGCCGTGTTGGTGATCATTTTTGGTTCTACAGCAGCTACAGAAACTAGGACCTTGTTTTTCTCTGTTTTATGACATATACAGTAAACCATACACAGTGGGGATGTTTAGTAAGTATTATCTGTTATCGTATCTGACATCTAGTATCTGTCTCCTTGTGTTATACTGCAACACTTGGAGTGGTTTCTTCTTTCCTTTTTGCCATTTCCTGTCAGAATCTCAACCTCCTACTTTGACTCTACTGACCAATGGAATGGTCCTTTGCTCGATTTTCTGATATATTTACATTTAGAATCAATTTCACATAACTTTTGTATTCCCATTTTCTAATTTGAGAAAATCTAAATCAACGGCACTGTAGGAAGTTGCTTAGGAAGCTTTGTAGATTAAAAAAAAAAATTAAAAGAGACAACACGTTTTATGCAGATATCTCACAGGCAAGAAATAAACCTGTAAGATGCCTCGATGTTTGATATATCTAGGGTATTAAAATCATTTGCAGATTTATGGTTGTTGAATTGTCAGTCTTCATTCAGAAGGTGTAGTTTGAATATGCATACTTGTTCCATGCCAGAAGTCAGCAAATTTTTCTGACTGAATAGTAAATGGGGCCAAATAGTAAATGTCTCATGCTTTGTGGGCCACAAGGTCTGCATCTCCATTCAGTACTGCCATTGTAACACAGAAGCAACCGTAAACAGGATATAAACAGGTGTGGTTCTGTTCCAATAAAACTTCAGTTACAAAAACAGGTTGTCGATGGAACTGGCCCATGGGCCATAGTTTGCTGACCCCTGTTTTAGACATTGTCTAACATTTAACTTTTAGACATTTTTAAAGTCGATTCTTTTTTAAAAGAAATGACATATCGGGAATATTATATAACTCTTAGAATTGTTTAGATAAAATAGATATCAGTACTGAGAATGAGATTTTTTAAATATCTGTAAGTACATGAATAGATGTACAATCACAGTGGATAGATTAATTGAAAATTGCTTTGAGAATAAAAAGAGAGGGTAAGAATGTAAGGAAAAAGCCTGAAAATGATTCTCATCATGTTATATATGAGACGATATTTTTAAATTGTTCCTGACTAGCCCATTCTCTCCTTTTAATTTAATTGCCCTCAGTCTTAAAGCCTTCCACTGGAAAGTGACCAATGAAGACATTTTTTTAAACAAAATTTTAGTCTGAGTCAAAATCATGTTCCAGTCAGTAGAAGTATAAGAATATGGTATTAACTCCTATACATGTCACATTGAATATACCATTTGGACTTAGCTTATGAGAAAAGTTAAGATAGCTTGGCTCTTAATATTAGAATTTTAAAGAGGGTTTTATCTTTCAGCTGGAATAGTCTACTTAAATTAAATTCTGTCAGGCTCCAGCCATCTCATTATATTCATTAAATTACCCAGTTTGAGCCCCCCGCCGCCGTCCCTTTTTTTTTTTGGCAGTTTGGCTCACCTTTTAAATGAAAGCTAGGCCTCTTTTTCTCAGACCAGCCATCATTATGGTCATTTCAGCGGTGCTATATGAAGCATTTATTATTACCTATAATGTCTGAATAATGGCAGTGAAATTTATAAATACACCTAAAATTCAACCTGAGTAGAAGAGGACTTGGAGATAGGAACACAGATGGAGTAACCTTTTAAAAAGTAATACCTGAGCATTTTCTGGAGAAACCCAATAAGCCGAGTGACATTAATGCTGATTGTGTCTAGATTCCTAGCTGTTGGTTACTGGATAGATACACAAAGTCCTCTTTGCCTTTGTGGTTGCTATTTACTTTAGTATAGTAATATGTTAAAAGAAAAGTAAGGCCTTCGCCCATTACAAAGCCATGGTTATCTAAATTGTATTAGATTAAAGAGCAAAATATTTGATTAATAGAATGAAGGACAGGATTCCATTGTAGGAATCCTAGTATATGACAAAAAATAATACAAAAATTGGAAATAAATCAGCATTTAACAAATGTTGTTGATTCAAGTAGATTGCAATATTTAAAAAGATGTAACCTTGCAGCTTATATAAAATAACCAAAGAAGATAGTTGTTTATTTATTCCAATAAATATGGGAGTATATATGTTAAGCTCTCCTAGGTCCCTGTTAAAGCACTAAAAGCTATTATCAGTGACAAGAGAAATAGACTAAAAGCTTTTTTTTCAAACTTCTTTGTAATGAAATGAAAGAGAAAGAATGCAGTGGAAGAGGAAGAATGGATGTAATAAGCATAATGTGACAGAGCTTCCCTAAATGTCTTCTAGAAGTTAAAGTGCTCAAAAATGATGAAGAGCTTATATATAAAGAATACAGAGAACAGATCATTTTATATAAAAACACATAGGCCTCTCTGGCAATTTAAAACCAAAATAAAATGTTACGGAATTATTATTTTTTTTAAGGTATTAAAAATCCAAATAACTGAAGCCAGTATAGGAGCTACAAGCATGCACACATGGCTGATGACACTTTGTAAAAAGAGAATTGTTTGTTTTCTGGCAAACATTCCGACAATTTACTTTTCTATTCAGTAGTCTCCATTGAATTACCCCAAAGAAAACAAAATAATTTTGTCTAGAGGGCTTAATTATTATTTTTCACAAATAGCTGACATTTATTGAATTTTTCCTATGGATCTGGCATTGTGCTAAGCTCGTGATGTAACAGTTAACCTAGATCATATGTGTAAGGTGGACTCTCTTGTTTCAGTTTGTAGATTTAAGTGGTATAAGTGTGTGTGTAAAAAAGAGAGCTTAGCTTATACTTACCCAACAAAGATGAGAGGTGAGACATTAGGGTGTTAAGCACCAAGGTGGGAAATCAGCCTAAGGTGGATTTGCCTCCCCCATAAACAGAACCACAAATAGAGATTCTTGGGCCTCTTTCCAAAAAAACTTTCCCTTAGCCAGACCCCTGTCTCCCTATAAGGACACTTTAAAGGGGTCGTTGAAAGCTATTGCCACCAAACTCAGCTGAACTCACAGAATTCAGCTGAGGACCACGTAGAGCCCTTTGACTGCACTGGCAGTGCAGGGGTAGGGAAGAAGATGGAGCCACATTGGAACTTGCCCACTTGGATTGTCAAGTCTTTTTCCAGACTCTGTTCCCTTCACCCTCCTTTTCAATAATTACAGCTTAATGCCTTTTATTCAGCAGAGAATTTCAAAAGGTTATGCAGATTTCCTAGAGTAGAGCAAACTAATCAGAAATAGAATAGATAAATGTCTTGTGTTGGTATTATCCCAAGGCTGTCTCACAGATGTGAGTGATTGTGTTATGCATTTCTCTCTTTCCATCTGGCCCTAACAACTACAGCTGCTCCAAGTGCAAGAGAGGTGAGCTTAACCTCACAGCTTAAGAAGCTGCAAGAGACCATTGAGCAGAGAACAAAGATAGAAATTGGAGACGTTATCCGGATCAGAGGTTGTATCCACACGTACAGAGAAGAGCGAGAAATCCGTGCCACTGCTTATTGTAAGCACAAGATACTTCTGCCAAATTAGTTGTTATTCTGGATGAGTGTCCAGTAAACTTGTTTAGCTAAAAGTCAAACTTCTAAAAAGTTCAAATGAAAAAATTAATTATTTTATGGAGGAAATTATATTTCATAACATGCTTTCTTTAGAAAAGCATCATTTCTTAAATATATTTTGAAGAGAGGTAACTATAAATAAATTAGGAAAGAAAACAAGTGATTTATTATGTATAGCTGGAAAATTTATTTGGGCCACATAGAATTTCTAAAGTACTTTGAAGTTCTAAGTATGAATCCATTTAGGGCAGAGTGTTCATATTCTTCTAATGATGGAGATTTCTTGAATACCGTTGAGTTCATTAACTTTGAAAGAAAACAGCTAATCAGGTATGTGACATTCCTGCATCATTGGAGTGATGCCCTTTGCACCGCTCTGGCTGATTTTTGCTTGGGAATATCAAGGACAGCTCCTGTTGCCCATCATTGTAACAGATGAGCAAATAAGCTCATGCATCCTCCCTAGTCCCAGTCTATTCCTGGCCAAGCCCGTGATGCTTAGGGCATTGCATTCCCTCTTGCAGGATGACTGAAAACCTTTTAGTGTGTCTAGACTATGATCCCTAGGCATTCACAAGGAAGGAGAGACCTTCTGAATGCTCATTTACTGTCATCCTAGCAGCAATTTGGATATGGGAAAGAACTGATCTCAGTGTAATTTCTGTGACATATTTTTTCCTGTGGCTTCTTAGATAAAGTGGATGATCCAGTGTGTAAGATTCAAATTGCAAGGATGCTTGAGCTGCCCAATATCTATAGGAAGGTTTATGACCAGCCTTTCCAGAGCCCAGCCCTAGAGAAAGAAAAGGCACTAAGGTAGGTTATGGCCTATCCCTGCTGAAGATGTGACCACAGCAGTAGTAATGCCAAGCAGGGGAACTCTAGATGCTAGAGTGGCCCTAGGTTTAAATTCTGAAACTGTCAACTTACTGTGAGGCTCTGGGCAAGTCCGCTCACCCTCTGCATGCCTCAGTGTCCTCATCTGTGAAGTGAAGATGATAATAGTACAGATGTTCTAAGATTGTTGTGACGAAAATATGTGTGTAAGTGGAGTCCCTGAAGAAGTGGAAGGAGCAGAGAAAAATTATTTAAAGAAATGATAACTGAAATTTTTCCAGATTTGCTGAAAACTGTAAACTCACAGATCCAAGAAGCTCAATGAGCCCCAAGGCAAGAAACCTGAAGAAAAGTACACCAAAATGCATCATAATCAAAATACCTCACGATGACACATCATACTAAAAACTACAGAACATGATACCAGTCATTTTCCACCAGGGATGCTTTTACTCTTTTGCATGCGGGGAAAGAAAATGGGAGGAGTAAGAGTACATCCGTATTTGCTAGTATATGCGTCAAAGAACTCGGGGAAGAGACAATAATAGCGGTTGCCAAGGGGATGAGAGCCTGGAGGAGGATAGAAAGGAAACTTTTCACTGTGTCCTTTAATTGCTTTAACTATGTGTATATGTTATATGTTTTTAAAAATTATATTTAAAAACACCCTGAACTATAGGCCTGTATAAAGTAAAAAGTGAAAGTTCTCCATTGTCCTGGCTTCCACCTCAGAGCCTTGCCCTAGAGGTAACCAGAGCTGCCCATAGGTTGAGGTGTATCCTTTTAGATGTTTTTCTTCCACACATACATGAGCATGAACGTCCACCATATATTTTGTGGATTGTCATTTGCTCTTTTACAAAAATGAGACCGTACCTTGTATAGTATTCTGCAAGTTGACTTTTTTCGTAATCTATCATGAATATCATAGTTCCTGTAGTTCTGCCTTCTTTTAAACAACTGTGCAGTGTTCATAGTATGAATTGCCCTTTATGTCAAAAACAAGCATCAGTATAGTGTTGGGCTTCCTAGCTAAGGGTCTGTTTCTGCACACCAAAAAGCAACAGAGGTGATAGCTTCCTGCAGGACTTTTTTTTAAACCTTCCTCAGCAGCAATCCGAGTGCCCTGGACCTTTCCAGTCTCACATGCTTGCTAAGTGAAAAAGCCAAAGAATTCCTCATGAAGAACAGAGTGCAAACCTTTTACCAGCAGGAGTTGGAAACGGTGGAGTCTCTACTGTCCCTTGCCAATCAGCCTGCGAATCACAGTGCCTGCTCCAAGAAAGTAAGTGCAGCATGCCCACATGAGAATTTAAGTGCCCTGTCCCAAATCTGCAGCCAGCTGGAGGGTGCGAGTGAACGTGACTGGCAGTAAGACTCACAGGGTGGACCCACGGAATAGAGGTTACGGTTCTATCACATGTTGTTTCTATTCTGGAAAGGTCACCGACCACTAAGAATTTGAAATGAGAATGCACCTGCCTTTTCACCTCTTTACTTAATTTCATTAAGCTTAATCTTTGGGTAGAAAAAATAATAATAGTCTAAGGTTCATTATACTTCGTTCTTAGTACTCACTGAA